ATTTTAGGATCTTTTTGCAATTTGTAGTTAGGGTTTTTTGCTATTTCATATTTGTTTTGGAGGCTATATGTAATTTTTTATTTATTCAGGATTTGTTTGTAATATCCTCTTTTGTCAGGGGGTATCTATAATTTTTAGGAATTTAATGTTTGTAGCTTTCAAATTTTTCTGCACGTTGCTTGTAATCTTAGATTTTTAGAAAGATGTATAACATTTTTCATATTTTTTAAGATTGCTTATAATTTTATAGGTTAACTTGAATTAGGAATAATTTGTGGGTTGTATACTGGCTTTGAGGGTTAGTTATCACCAATGCAAAATTATAGCGTAACGCCTTCATGAAGGTTCAATGCACAAAAATTAAAATATTTTGAGGTTTTTTTTATAACATGTGTTAGTTTTTTGTGCCCTTATAATATGACATATGCCAATTTTTTGCGCATTTAGGAGTTCCACGAATTTATCTTTATATATAAAAGAGGGATAAATGAGCGTTACAAAAGTATGGAGCCTTTGCTGACTTAAAAATTTAATTCCAAATTGCAAGGGTTGACCAATAATTTTGTTTCGTCCGGTACTAAGCTAGTTTAGAATTTATACTCCAGATCGCTACCTTACACTTCAGTCATGTTTACCAACTTGATCAAAGTGGATTATTATCTACTTTTAGGGTTCAATTGTTGTTTGATAGTATTAAAAATAACCCAGGATTTCTAGATTATTTCTTGAGCATTCGACCAAGAAAAAAATAGTCACTTTTCACATTGCTTTCTTTCTTCTTCTCTTTACTCCCACATTTAATTGAATTTTGGTCATTTTAGTAAAAAGGTAAATGGATTGCAAATCACTTATCTTTATCAAACATCTAACATTCTAGTCCACTTACATTATTATCTATCATTGGATTATGTGTAACTCAAGTGAAGTAAAATCTAGGATTGCCAATCATGCTCTTAAATTGTCCTATCTCATCTAGTCAACTCTCATGTTGTTCCAAACTCGCTTCTTTATTCATCCACAGCTGTCTCACGATGTAGTACTTCGTTTTGTTCCTTGTGCACGCTAATATACAGAAAATTAGTTTATCTTTTAAAAGTAAAGTCTAAAGATAGGGTGCAAGTTTGTACTCTTCGTGTTCGAGTGCAACATTTCCAGTTATTCTCTCTAAGCGTTCAACCAAATTGGCACATGGTCTCAAGTATACAAAAGTTGCTGAAGAGATCAGTCATGTGTTTGCCACTTGGCCTTCATAAGTAAACCTTGGAAAGAGATAGGATGCAAGTCTGTATTACTCGTGCCCAATGGCTAGTGTTGGGGCGCATGGCGCAGGCCGGCGGTCGACCCACGGGCCCGGCGGCTTGACCCTAATTGACCCGTTGGGCTGACCCCGGCCCAGCGAGCAGTGCGATCCACAAAAACCCAGCCAGGCGCTGCACTGCGACTGCACGGCGTCCGGACCCCGGGCACCCGCCGATATGACGGCCGAGCGAGTCACGGGTTTGGCCGGGTCTAGCTCAAGACTCGGGTCGAGAGAAATTGACTTGGCCCACCGTTGACCCGGCCCGGCCCGACCCCGAAATTTAATTTTTGACATAAGCAACTAAAACCAGTAAACTAACCAAAACTTAATTACAGACTTCTAACTATCTTTGCACAAACTCTTACAAATAATAAGGAAGAAAACAATGTGTTGTACTTGTATCACATAAATGATCAGTCCTTCTCCCACTCTTCTTCGATAGTCGAGAAAGTGATCCTCCACCCATTGAAGAAGAGCTAACGGGGCACATCTCCAATCGCCACATCTCGACACAGTCATTTGGAACTAGCACAAAGTAGAGATTTCCACCGAACCCACCATGACCCAACCAAAAGTTAAAATGATATCCAGCTATATGCTTGGTACGACTGATAACATCCCTCAGAAACTCAATCACTCTCGAAAACTCAAATGATTCCAACCATTAACTAATGATTTAATAGATTAACAATAAAATTAATATAGTTTATAAATTAAAAATAAAAAAAGAAAAAAAATTAAAGCCCACGGGCTGACCTACGACCCGTGGGTCGTAGGCTAGGTTCGACATAGCCCACCTCTAGGCGGGTTGTGGGCCGAGCTGGGTCCAATCTCAGACCCGAGATCAGAGAAATAGACACGGCCCATCCCATTCTGACCCGGGCGGGCCCAGGTCAGACCCGACCCGAACTTAACCTAGAGGGTGGGGTCCCGGGCCCGAACCGGCCCGGCCCACGCCCACCTCTACCAATGGCGCCTTGTTTCATAGGTATAAGTTTAAAATACAATAGTTCTCTCTCCAAGCATCCACGTCAAGTTTTCATATGTATGTCTCCGGTCGAATTTCACGTACATAAAAATTAAGATATTTTCATGCAAAATGGGATAATTGTTAAAGTGGAATAATTTTTCGCTAGTGTGATATTTTAGTGGGGTAAATAGGAACAATTTTGTGAAGCAGGATATTTTGATAAAGTAACGTGACATAAATTTTTATAATTATGAAATATATATTTATGCATTTTGAAGATATAAATACTATTTATGTATTTTAAACTTACTATTATTGATTGATAATTGCTTACAAGAATGTTCTTTACTATTAAATAACTTTTGGTTAGACTATAAGATATTGACAATTATTATTATAATGATTGTCTAATGATGGTGATAACCATAATAGGAAAGAAGTAAAGAAAAAAAAATATAAAAAATAAAAATAACAAAATAAATATGAGTTCTAGTTTTTTACCATCTAGTTCCAAGCTAAAACTTGGAATAATTTGAGAGACTAGAACTCTTATTTTTGTGTAGAAAAATAAGAAATGTGGGATAATTTTGTACAATTATCTCAATTCTAGTTTTATTAGAGTTCTACTTGACTAACACTCTAAAATTTTATTCTAATTTTAGTTCTATGTGACTAACACCTTAAAAATTTATCCCACAGATTATTCCAATTCCAATTTTAAGTTCTAGGTGACTAAGCCCCCCTAAACAGACCATTTATGAGTTGACCTCTAATTATTGTTGTCTTAGTCAAAAGCATAGGTTCTCTTCTTGATCGGTGATTGTGAAAACGACGAAGGAATTGAGGAAAAGAATTGAGAAAATATGAAAAATAAGCAAGACAGACTCTTCCACACCCTGGTGTGGTGTTTGCTACACTCAAGTGGCAGGGTGTGGCAGAATCTTCCCTGTTTGTCATGGGTGTGGTGTGTGTCACATCAGGGTATGACAGACTCGTTTTTAGAATCCTAATCTGTTTGAGATTGTGTTTTGTTATAAATAGAACCACGTTTTTTAGGGTTTTCTATCGATTGATTTTGTAGTTTGAAGGTGATTTTGAGCATAGAAAAGAGAGATCTTTCTGAGCAATTTGTTTGAGGGTTTAGTTTGAGAGATTTGAGAGATTTGTTTAAGAGGTTAGTTGAGTGATCTTGTAATCTCTACTTTGTACTCTCTTTCTCTATAGTGGAAACCCATCCCTTTTTGCCCTGTGGATGTAGACAATTTGTCGAACGACGTTAAACTTTTGTGTTTGAGTTGGTGCCGTTATTTTGGATTGTTTTGGCTTTCTCTCTCGGCGTTCGTATTTGTTCCGCCTCACATAACAAGTGGTATCAGAGCTCAGGTTACGCTTGAGCTATTTGGAGGAGTAGATCGCTTTGGAAGTTCGGCTAGGGCTTTGTTTGGAGTTAAAGGTGGGATCTTTTTGGTAAAAATTCTATCTTTTCTTAGTTTTGGATATATTCTTCGTTTGTTCTATTTTGATTGTTAGTGTTTTGAGGAATTATGGCCGGGAGAGAAGGAGTTGTGGAGAGTACTTCAGGTGTGAAAACCGTTCAAAATTTGAATATTCACTCTATGAAGATAGACGTGGAGAAGTTTAATGGCACTAACAATTTTGGGCTTTGGCGATGTGAAGTCTTGGATGCGCTCAACGCGTAAAATTTGGAAGATACTTTGGAATTGAATGGCAAGCCAGATGATATTGATGAGAGGGTTTGGAAGAAGATGAATCGAACGACGTGTTGTGTGATTAGGTCTTGTTTGACTCAAGATTTAAAGTATGATGTGATCAATAAGACTTTAGCTAAGAAGATTTGGGAGATCCTTGAGAGCAAGTATTTGACCAAGAGTGTGGAGAATCGCTTGCAATTGAAGAGGAGGCTTTATCCCTTCCAATTGAAGAAAAGAACCTCCATTGGTAATCACATGAACCACTACACGAAGCTTCTTGCGAATTTGACGAATGTAGATATTATGATTGAAGATGAGGACAATGCATTATTGTTGTTGAGTTTCTTACCTAACGAGGAATATGAGACTTTCGTTCTTACTCTTATCAATGGGAATGCATCTCTTTCGTATAGTGAGGTCACTGCTGCACTTGTGAACTATCAGCTTTGAAAGAAAGATAAGGAGTCTACAAGTGACACAGTAGCGGAGGCGTTGGTCGTAAGATGGAAGAATCCAAACCGAAAGAATTGGTAGTCACAGTCTAGAGTAGGGCATCTTACAGTTAGAAAAAGATCAGTGTGCTCGGTGCAAGGAGACTGGTCATTAGAAGAAAGATTGTCCAAAGTTCGACGAATGGATAAAGAATAAGCAGAAGGGAAAAGGGAAGCAACCATCATCAGAAGCAAACATCGTTATATCGGATGGTAGTATTTCTGATACTTTTATTTATTCGCTTTCTATCAGTCCTACAAATAGCTATTCGTAGGAATCCGAGTGGATGTTAGATAGTGGTGCGACCTATCATGTGTACCCTAGAAAGAAATGGTTCTCCAGTTTTGAGAAGCCAGATAGTGGTGTGGTGTACATGGGTAACAACCGTGTATGCCTGATCCTTGGGATAGGAAGAATTCGCATCAAGTTGTTTGACGGGACAGTTAGAGAGTTATATGGTGTGAGATATGTTCCTTCCTTGAGGAAGAACTTGATCTCAATTGGAGCTTTGATTGGAGAGGGTCTGATGGTTCGTGTTGAGGACATGGTTTTCGAGATCGTGGAAGACTCTTTGATTGTGATGAAGGGCGTTAGGATGAATAACATGTACTATTTAATTGGAAGTTCAGTGACAGGTAGAGAGTTGGCGACTTCTGTTGATTCGACTAGACTGCGACATTTGGAGCTTAGTCATTCCAGTATTGATTTGGAGATGGGTGCACAGACCTACAATTTGAAGTCCAGTGAACACTTTGATGTGAGCAAGAAGACGTAGGTGAAGTTTGGCATCTCTATTCACCGCACTAAGGGTCTTTTAGGTGGAGTTCACACGGATGTTTGGGGGCCTTCCAAGGAGGCATCATTGGGAGGTAATAGATGTTTGGTTTCCTTTATTGGTGGCAGTTCTAGGCATGTTTGAGTTGCAACCAAATCCCCTTTGGATAAAATCCTAGTAGTCTCCAACAGATTGAAGAAGTGTGAGATTGACAGAAAGGTGAAGGTACTTCATTCTGATTTTGGTGGGAGGTATAAGAGGGACCTGATTTTGCATTCGAGCCGAGCTCACAGTATTTTGAGACACTTCGGTGGAAAGGAAATCTTAGGACAATAAGATGAGATGGCAGATTTGGTGAGCTGTTCCTTGCTGGAGGAAGATCGCCGTTTAATATCGAGCATTGATTCTGGTGTTGAGGTTTTGACATATTTGGATCATCCTATTAAAGAGTTATCAATTGTTGTGATTGGAGGTAAAACTCAATTGGATATTTGGTCTGGTAATGTCACATTGGATGAGGCTTCGATGAGAGAGCCTATTGACTCTCAGCGGGTAGAGAGTTTTGGACAGATCATAGAGGTATCACAGCAGGTGGAGAGTGATGCTACTTCACATTGGGTGTAGATTACTCCACATTCTTCAGATTATTATGCATCATTTGGGATTCCAGCTGAGGTGATACAGTTAGGGGATCGTTTGGATTTGGGTGCAGATGATGAGTTGGTTGATTCGAATGCAGCTGGTGGATATGATTTGGATATGGTCATTGGTTCACCTCAGGTGGAGGTGTTTGATTTGTTTCACTTTAGAGCCATTAGAAGCGTCATCAGTTACAGATCCGTTAGTGATGTTGGTGAAAAGGTTGCAAACTTTTCTATTTGATTGAGGGCCTTTGGAGGCCGTTTGATGAACTACCGAGCGGCTTGATCCCTTGGGAGAGGGGGTACGTTGGCAGTCAATTTGATGTAGCCGGTTTGGTGATTTGATAACGATATTTGGAGAGTGTTCGCATTCTGGTTTGGGTCTCGACTTGTTGTGGATTGAGTCCGTTGTCGTGGTTTTGTTCCACTTCGTATTGGATGTAACAAGTGTGACGTTTTATTTGGTTGGTGTCGGCTCAGTTTTGGAAAAACTTCGTCGAGGTGGAGAATTGTGAAAACGTCAAAGGAATTGAGGAAAAGAATTGAGAAAAACGTGAAAAATAAGAAAGACAGACTCCACCACACCCTTGTGTGGTGTCTGCCATACCCAAATAGGGGGGGGGGATGATTAGCGTCTTATGCTAATCTAATTCGATTTTATGCCAATTAAAACTAATTAACAAGTTATCTTAGCAAGTATAAAATACAACAAGATATGTGAGCTAGGATAAGTGATATACACAAGGGTAAACAAATTAAACAACATAGTGGATGATATAAATAATGAGCAATGAACAATGGCGACAAGAAACATAAACATAAAAGTAAGTGCACCAAAGCAAACTCAAACACACGATATGATCACGGAGTTTGGACCTTCCGTCCTACGTCTCCGTTCCCCACTCCCGGGGAGAAATTCACTATCACAATCGGGTTTTCTACGCTCACCCGAATAACGTTTACACCTTACAATTTCATTCACGTAGTTTGGTCCCCACGACCTACGTCTCCGCGCCTCAACTCTCACCAACCCAAATATACTATGTATGAAAATACAATAAGATCAATGTGGGTGTGTGTAACAATAAGATATAAATCAAAACTAAACTCAAGATAATTCTAGCTTAATAATAATGATAATAAAATATATAAAAGAGCTAGAAATAGAGTTTAGAAAACTTCTCAATAGATCAAGAGATCGAGGGAGAGTAGTTGGATGCTCGAACACCAATAGATGATCTTCTCAAGCTCTTGTGAAATTGATTTCACAAAACAAACTCTCATATGCTTAAAAGCTTTTTAAACAAACTTAAACAACACTTAAACCCTTGTTAAAACTTTGTTAAAACATTTCTTGGATGTAGAAAATAGTTATGGCAAATAGGTATATATAGGCTTGAAGAAAATAACTCAAAAAACCTCAAAAACCCATTAAAAAACAAAAAACAGATGTTATCGTTACTGTGCAACGGGCGACTGCTACAGTAACAGCGGGCGACCGTACTGTTTACAGACAGTTTCTGTTTTTGACAGATTCTGGAATTTTACGTATCTGACTTTGTAAAATCAATTAAAAATAGTAAATCAACTCCAAAAATCATGAAATTTGCAGGAAAGGTTCTAGATATGTAGATAAACATGTTAGAAAAAGAATTTCTGAAATATCACTTCCCAATTGAGAGCAATAATTATTTGAACACAGATATATAGTTTCTGAAAAGACTACTAAAAACATGTTTATGTAAATTCAATTGAAAATAACAAAACAACTCCAAAATTAGTAAAACTTGGGAAAATATTTGTATATATGATAATAAACATGTAAACGAAGAAATTTTTTAAATCGCATTTCCCAATTGTGAAAATGTATCTGTTTTGCAAAAACATGCACGAACATGAGCTTATTTAAAACTTGATTTTGTAAATTCAAATAAACATAACAAATTAATTCCAAAATTGATAAAACTTTGAGAAACATTTATAAACATGAAATTGAACATGTTAGAAAAAGAATTTCTCAAATTGAGTTTTTCATTTGTGAAAACTCATGTATTTTGCAAGTGTGTCCAAAACATAAAAATGTGATATACATGAAATTTGATGTTTTGACATAAACAATGTTGTGAAACCCTATGAAATAATTTTATAGACTTAATGAAATATGTATACAATGATTGTTAAGTCCATAAACCAAAACTTGTGTATATATATAACTATATATATAAAAACCAAATATGTGTCTGTATATATGATTGAGCTTAAAGTACTAACACACATAATATAAAACCTAAACTAAATATACCTAAGCTTGATAGATCTTCGATGAGCTTGACTTGGTACACTTTGCGGATGAAGCTTGAACTTGAATCTTTAACTTTGAATTGTGTATGCTTCACTCCACAATTTCGCCAACCTCCATTGGATATAATCGTGAATATGTAATTTCATCCATCCTCTAACATATTGTTTGTCTACAATAAATAAGAAAACACAAATACTAGACAAACAACATTAGTGATAAATTGTTTGTTAAACATCATCAAAACAAGAAGGCCAACAATCTTCCTCTTTTTCATGATGACAAACAATTTACAAAAAAGATATATGCATGAAAGAAAATGAATATACAAATTATAATTCACATGCATATAAACAAAGAAATGTATACTCACAATGTTTCTCCCCCTTTGACAACATCAAAAAGGGGAACCAAAAGAATTAAGAGAGCGAAAGCTCCCCCTATCAATATGCATGGGTGAGTATACCACATAGAAAGATATAGGGATTGCTCCCCTATCAAAATGGCTTAATGAATATATGCAATGAATGCTAAGGCATACATATGTGAGCAAGCAAGAAACATCCTAAACACAACTCACATACAAAAAGACAATAAGAACACATATAAATATGTCATATAAAAATAGTGTCTCATTAACACAAAAAATATAAAAACCATATAAAAGAATAGATTTATGAAAACAAAAGAAGAGGAACATGAGAATCATGCAAAAAGTTTTCAAATGGAAACAAATCAACCAAAAGAAATCATAAATCAAAGTTTATATCCAAAAACAATGTTTGATCAATAAATAGAACTTTCTTTGTAGAACTTGATCAAACCACATATAGAATGCATTATAAGGTACACATAGATGATCCATAAGCACAAACACATAAATATCATCATATAAGCGAAGTATAATGAATTCAAAGAAACAAATCAAAACAAGATTTTTGACAAAATGCAATAGAGGCAACAATTTATCAAGCTTTTAAGCTTGTAACAACCCATATAAGGACTTTTAGTACCCGGTAAACATGATTTGGGAATAAACACCCAATAAACCCGGGGGTTATATAAAAACAAACCTCTCAAAAATCGAAACTAATAATCATGAAAACAAAATATTTAATCAATTAAAAGTTGTTTTCATATATAAAAATTTAGAACACGTTTTTCAAAACCAAGAAAAAGAAAAAGAAAAATATTAAAATTCTTGGTTTAAAAATCAAATTTGTTTTGGTACCCAAGTATTTGTGGTACCAAAAGATTTCGGGACATGACCTCTATCATTTAAGCTCAAAGCCCTAAGCTTATGAACCCTCTTGGGCGCATGTGGTGCACGGATACGGTCAAACAAAAATTGTATAAATGACCTTTACGATTACAATTTATGCAATGAAAAGATTGAAATAATTTGCGTTGACCAAATGGTTGTGCACGGTGACTCATTGGCAAAAATAGGTTTATCTTGAAAATTATTTTGCAAACGAGAAACTCTCCTCAAATCAAAATAAAATTTGGTCAAATGACCAAAACACACAATGATCACACTTAAACTTCTGTGGTCTTTTAAAATTATTTGGCAAAAGTGAAATCTTTTTCAAATCAAAGCAAAATTTTGCCAAATTGCCAAATCGATCACATAGATCACATTTAAACACATGTGCATGTTTATGATGAGCATGATGAGTTTGTGCATGTACATGTGAATGTGATGAAGAAACCTTATGAGATGCACAAGAAGCATTAGTCTTAGAAGATTTGTATGCATCATAGCAAAATTTAGCAATGTGGCATTTACGACCGCAAATTGAACATTTGTAAATTTTGCTATAAATATGTGCATAGTGAGTGTTGGATTTGAAAGAATTAACACGAGACTTTGCACATAAGTCCATAAGTTTCTTATTATTAACAATACCTGTTTTAAGAGTTGAATCTAAAGATGAAATGCGATTTTTAACATTATTCAACTCATCATTAGACATATGTGCATTAACATTAGAAGTAGAACATAAATATTCATTTATAAAAGAACCTGTATCATTTTTTATATTTTCTACTTCTA